ATGTTGGTGCGGGTGTGATTGGAGGAGAGGGGGCTGCATGGTGGGAATATGGGAGAGCAGGGTGGTGACAAGGCCAGTGTGGGGTCAGGACCTGTCTCTCCTTTTCCTTGTCACTCCGCACTTCCAGGCTGGGAGCTGCTCTCACCTGGCCAGTCTGACCTGATCTGGCACCCACTCTGCTTCCTTCAGGAACAGGGCAGTCAGCCAGCTGTCTTAAATCAGGGAATTGTTTCATTTCTCTGTCAGAATAGAACTTTTGGAGGAAAAGAAAATTTTAAGAACAAAACCCTTCTCAAAAATGCGCTTCCCGTTCCCAAACCCTCCCACCTCATGGCTGACTCATGGGCAGACGCCTCAGGAACAAATAGCATCTTTTGTTTTTTGTCCTTCAGATAGGTTTCCAAGCTCTAACCACTTTTAAACTACCATACACTTTATTTTTCTTTTTGCTTTTTTTCTTCAAGGATTTATTGACACATGCTCTGTCAGCTTAGTTTTCCTCTCTTCCTGTTGGCCTTCCCTCCAATTCCACGCCCAAATACGCATACAGGAATTATCTCATGATTCAGGACAATACACAGCTCTTCAGCTCTGCCATGAACCATCTGCATGGCCTTGGGCACTTTGCTACTGTATTGCAAACTCTCCACTGTGAACCTGCACACAGATTTCAGTTTGAGTTGAACAGAAATGTTGGGGTGACCATACTCCAAATGAGGGCTGTGCTGGCTTGGCTTTGGCTCCAGTTGTGAACATGAGCAACTGTTCCGATCTGAGAAATGTGTGGCAGCAGTTTATTACAAGGATTTATACTGAGCTCTGCTGGCCTGTCTGGCCAGGCACATATGTCATGCAGAAGTATGTTTTCTTCCTCAGATGGTGCTGATCTGCCTCTCTGCACAGCCACAGCCTGTGCTCGAGCCCCTCATTGCTCTGGTTTGCTTGACTGACTCATTTATCCATCCCTTTCAAACCTTGCAAATGACTTTTCTCTCCAAATTCTTCTCTTTTCACTGGAGACAAGGCACACAGCTTCTTCCCACGTAAATCACATTCCAAAACTTTGATGTCATCTTTATTTTCCTCTCTTGGGACTCCTGAGAAACCCTGCACAGGATGATTACTTTCATCTTATCTCTTCTTTGGGAAAGCCCAGAGCAGGGCTGCTTTGCTGGACCCTTTAGCATCAATAACAACACACCTCAAAGAGCAGCATCTATAATGGCCTGCCAGGTCCCACCTGGGCTGAAGAATGGTTTTCACTAATAACACTGCCTTTTTTTTTTTTTTTTTCTGAAGACAACAGGGAGAAACTAGGAAAACATGAGGATTTGGCAGTATGGTTTTATCATTAACACAGCTGCTATGAGAACTGTAGCATCAAACCTAAAGAATTTCAACAAGGCCTCAAACTTGATGTTTTTCAATGTTTCCTGAATGTTTACTCTTCAGGTTCATACTGAGGTGCTTTAATAAAAGCAGACTGACTTCCAGAGGTTGGAGTGACCTGGCCTTCCTGTTGTCTCTTCTGCAGCCAAGTTATTAAAATCCTTTCAGCTATTTGGTTGAGATATGAGAGGGTGTTTGTGGTGTGGTGGCTGGACTCCCACTGTCTTATGAACCACCCTGAGGGTGGCAAGAATCCCTCTGGTTGTGTGGGGGATCTGAAGTGATCTATTTATAATTTTCTTACCTTGACAAAATGCAGGGAGTGACTCAAATATGTCCCATCCTTATGGAAATTAATTGTGTTAATGGGATCATTAGAATTTAGAGTAGTGTCAAACTGGTTTTTTCAGCTAATGATGGTTCTTGGGAAGGTTATGTCATAAGGAAGGCGGAGAACCTGGTCACCTATATATACGTGATCAGCCCTGAGCCCTTTCTTTGGGTTTCATTGAGCAATGCTCTAGTAGAGTCAACGTAGGCAAACAGCTGCCAGCACCCTCACCATGAAAATAGGAGGTGCCTCGGTGGTCCTTGCTCTGGCATTTTTCTGCTTCTTCTCAGGTCAGTAACTTGTGATGTTCTCTGTGCTGGAATCTGGGACTGGCAGAGGACGCAGCCTGGGAGTGCCCATAAAGACAGAGAGAGGATTAGAGAGCCCTTGCTTTGTAAAAAGCCTGGTGGTATAGCAGAAGACCACAAATTTTTTTGTTGTTCTACATGTATTAGTTTGATATAACCTGTCTTGTTGTCTACTCTTTCTTTTTCATGTAGAAATAGTGAAGTTGTATTGATAGATGAAAGCATCTATTTTTAATGGAATTAACAGTTTAAGAAGAAAACAAAAAAGCCAAACCCCCATTTAACTTCCATCCTAAGTGGAAGAATACCAATTTCCAACCAGACTGAATTCTTCTGTAAAAAGCCCAACTTTGAACAAAAATGTAATACAATTTTCTGTAAATTCAGAAAAATGGTAATGTCTTGTCAACACTTGCTAAGGAAGGCATTTTCACATGGCTGCAGTAATTTGGCTACAATAGATAGACTTCAGCAGGAGTTAGGTTTGAAGCAATGGTCTTGCAATTTCCTGCCAGTTTCTATTGAAAAAGTGCTAATGGAAGATTTCTTGACAGTTCCTTGCAATGCCACTGATGATGCAAAGGAGGATGAAACATAATATACCAGCTTTAAGTGGCTTAGTAAAAAGAAATAGGTATCAGCTACTCACCTGCTGACTCATTATTAATTTGATAATTTGTGTGAAGTACTGCAAATGGAATGGGCCTTGAAAAGGAATTTGTCATTTTGGACAAACAACAATGGCCTAGTATCTGGTATCCCAGTTTTAAGGAGTGGTGAAGAATGCCAAAAATGTTTGTGTGGGTTTGATGCAGCTACCCAGGCAGGGGTATAGAATAATGGATAAACAGTTACTGGGCCATCCTTGGAACTTGGATTTTAAGCCTGAGAAAAGTAGCGCGGTAAAGAAGGGCACAAAGACACTCAAAAAAATGGATGTGATTTTGCATTTGAATGACAAAAAGTGCAATGTTCCAGAAAGGACTGGGCATTAGAGAATTTCTATCAGTGTGAAATAATGCATTGGATTAGCTTTTATCAAGAGGCATTTGGGTGGATTAGGAAATTGCATCAAGTATTTTAATTAAATGCTTTTGCTTTAAAATTTCCCTTCAAAGATTTTTGTATGGTTTCATTGTTGGTTTTTCTGTCACAGATGTTGCCAGTCAAGCTTCGATTAAGGCGAGTCCAACCTTTTCTATTCTGCTTCTCCCTTTGTTTTGCCAACTTACACTGCTTTAATGCATGCTTTGAGCAAAGTCCATTTAGATGCACTATACTTAGATATTATAAAGCTTTTTCAGTGGTGGAAAAAGCAGTGAATCTCTCCATATTTAGAGACAACACTTAGGTAATATGGCAATGGCTCCAGCTGACAGTGTGTGTTTGGTGCATGATGATGAGAACATATCCAAACAGCTCTGGGCTGGAAATCTCATGAAATGATGTTAGAAATGGCATGAATTATATTTTTAATGATATTTTAGAATGTAGCTTCTAATCCAGCAGAAACCCCTGCTTCTGATAATTCCTAAGTTTCATAATTAAAAGAATTAAGGCGAGTCCTTTGAGTCTCAGAAAATAATTTGATTCAATGACTTAGAAGTCAGTTCCATTCATGTTTTAATCAAGCAAGCTTGTCTCCTTGGTAAAGATCCTTTCGGGAAACACAGTAGCCAAAAATAACTAAACGGTTCATTGCTTCTCCCTGGTCTGCATCTCAGTTACCCAGCAGAAGATGCAATGGGCTGCTGCAACATTGCACAGTATTACTGCTCTGCTTCCTGAGAGGGTTGTGCTTTTCTGTGCTTGTCTTGCATGTGAATCACTCTTCAGTCACGCTGGCCCGTTCATTCCTCTTGCATCCCTCTGGCACTTGCAGGGCTGTATTTTCTGCTCTTGGCTAACTTTATAACGTGCAGTCCTATGCTGTAGCGGGCAGCAATTTGCAGCTATATGTAAATTAAACTTGTTCCTTAAATATATATTCCTTTCCCTGTGATTAATGGTTCTTGCAATGGGTTTTGAACTTTCTCATTGTCTTTTCTGCCTCGGGAGCCGCGAGCAGGGCTCTGGGTGCAGCCTGTGCCACGTGTGGTGTGTGGCCAGGGATGGGCAGGAGGAGCGTGGTTTGTGTGAGCAAACTGGTGCTGCTGAGAGCCTGCAGCACACCCAAAAAAGATTCAGTGTGAACAAACAGTTCTCAGGATCTTGCTGGGAGCCTCCACTGATTGCCCTCCTCTGTGCTTTTCAGAACGAATGCAGGAAAATTTGGTCACTCCTGCGCAGCGGGAAGTATTCCTGTCCCATCACCAGGGAGACCTTCAGCAGCCCAAATAAAAAAGGAGACCTCAACAAGTGCATGATGTGCCAGAGGCTGCTGTGAGTATCAGCTGCCTGCTGGCTCCAGTGGCAGCCCTGCCCACCCACAGCATGTCCTCTCCTCCCGTAGCAGGGAGCCGACTCTCTGGAGGCCCCGTGCTATAAAGTTGTTGTCCCTGGCCAGCCAGACCAGTTTGTAGCTCTTCAGCAAACCTGTGAACCCAGTAGGTCTCCCCAGCTCATCACATGGTGGGGATCACCACAGGGCGTGAGGAACAAATGCAGAGTGAAAACTTGCACAGATTAATCTCTTGTTTCCATGGATGGTGTTTCTTAGGATGGGGAGAGCTAGATGTTGGGCAGGGAGAAAGGGTGGCACAGTGATCCCAGAGCAGAGATGTGTTCAACATCTGGACTGTGTCAGAGAGCTGAGCCCTGCTGCTGGTCTGTGCTGCTGCCTTGTGCAATGGGGAGGTGGGGTTGGCTGGACTGGCCTTTAATCACCCCCTGTTTTGGCTTTGTGTCCAAGCACTGCACGCTGCCCCGTCACTCACTCCTCCTTTTCTTGCAGGGAAAGAGACTCAACTACCCAGGGGAGTGGTGGAGAGCTGGAGAGGAATGTGAACTCCCTGGGAAAGGTGAGGTGAAGCATGGCTGCTGAAGCCAGTTTTATTGGCATTGGCATCTCGTCTGCTGCCTCTGACCCGCTGCCCAGGGCACTTCCTCGTCTGCAGCGTGAGAAAGGGCCCTGCAAAAGGGGAGCAGGGCAAACGTGCTCAGCCTTGGGAAGAGTCTGAGGCTTTGTGTCATCCTCCAGCATAAAAGAAACCAAAATTCCTGGCGGCTCCTCCCAGGCAATCACGGCAGCCCCGGTGTGTGCCTGACCCAGAGCCTGGCTGAGGAGGATGCCTGCCTGTTTATAAGGCACCACTGGAATCTGGCAAATATTTAATAGCAAGGTTGGCACATGTGAGCTCTGACTAGGGCAGGGTGTGGGAATAGGCTGGCTCTAATTGTCCCTTGTTTATCTTGTTGATGCACCTGTGGTTTCTTTTAGCCATAGCTGTTTTTCTAGATAGCAGGTCTTTACGTGGAGGGAGCTGTCCTTTTAGCCTTGGGTTTTTATTCTAGATGGAAGCAAATTGGTTTCCATCAGATAGTGTTGGTTGTGGTGATTGATTTGTTTATTTTTTTACATCTGGTTAAGCAGGGTAGCTTTCTAACTCTTGTGTGTCTGGACAAATTAAAGGCTTTGTAAGGCATAGCTGTCCTAAGGGAGATCTTTTTTTTAGACATCTGACTTGCCAACGTGTGGTCCTGAAGGCATCAGGACAGTTTTACAGTGTCAGGAACAGACCTACACTGAATTTCTTTGTTAAGCCATAGATTTTCTGTCTGGCTTTTGGCAAGTAATTTTCTAGGCTTGACTTCCCCATCTGCAGAACTGGGATAAGCTATCAAGCTATCTCCTCTACATGGTGTGAGAGGAAAAATGTATTACAGATCACATAACAGATAAGGTTGTAAGTGCTGCATAAATGAACCTGAAGGCCTCACATGTTCCATGTGTTTCTTATGCTCCAGACTTGCCCTGAAACTTATAGGAAAGCTGTTCAGAGAAAAGTAAAGGCTGGGCTGAAATGCTTAAGCAGGCTTTGCTACAAAAGCCTTTTGTGAAATAGAGTGCTTTGGTTCAATTAACACATACCATCATGTTAAGTGGAAGGTAAAAACACCCACCTCTTGCTCTCATATATCTGGCAATAGGAGGTGTTCAAGGATTACATTTTCTTATGCCTGCAGCTTCTTTTTTTTTTTACTGTGCATGGGTTTTAAATTTCTTTAATTTTAGTAGCGAGTTCCCTCACGAGAGATGGGAAAACTGACTTTCTCATTTAAAATTCACTGAAGTTGTGGATTTTATACTTAGAGCAGAGCTTAGGTCCTTCGGGCAGGCTCTTGCATGTGTTATCTGTTAGAAATAGCAACAAGGCTACCCCGGATGCAAAAGACAGATCTGCTGATCTAAACATACGGATTTATTTGTTTTATGCTGCATGTTACGGTTTTCCACCGAGTTACGCCTCAAGGAAGCAAAACAACATTTGAAATGTAATTCATTGGGTGGATTATCCTTTGTGGATTTGTGGGAGATGTGCCTCTCTGTCAGCATATCTGTGTCAACTCGTGCTTTTGGTGTTTGCACAGGACGAGTGTCGGGAGTTTCGGGATCTGTTCAAGAGAGGGAAACTCACCTGCACCAGGGAGAACGACCCTGTCCGGGATGCCTCTGGGAAGCAGCACAGCAATAAGTGCATCATGTGTGCAGAGAAGTTGTGAGTAAAGGAGAGGAGCGTGGGAAACCTCTCCTCCCTCCCTGGAGCACCCTGGTATTCACTTTCTCATCTCTCTTCTCTTCCAGCAAAAGGGAGAATGAGCAGAAGTTATCTAAAAACAGACAAGGAAAAGATAAGGTGAGATTAAAGTATTAGGCAGGTCAATATGGAACTTTATTGGATTTTCACCCAAGACAGAGGAAAGGGAATGTTATTCTACTCCATTGCTCTTTCTCCTCTGAGTTAATTTTGAGATCCACTTTCTTTACATTCTTTATTTCTTATTCATGCTTTTGAATCCCTCAAGTGAACAACTTGTGCCTGAATATTATGGTCTGTTCCAGTGACCCGTGGATCTAGGGACAGGCAAATCCTGACAGATCAGGAAGCCAGGTGTGCTGTGCTGTCCCAAATTTCAGCTTTCAGGTGGAGAGGTCAGTTCTGCTGAGGCTGCTAATTAGCTGGAAAAGGAAAATGTGTGAAAAGCCCTAAATCTGAACTCTGCACAGTTTAAAAGATCATTGTGTTCTGGGAGATGTCAACCCTGCACTATCTCCAGGCCTGTGGCTCAGTTTTAGCTTTTTTTTTTGTTGGAAACTTTGCTCTTGTGGAGTTGTGATTTGCCACCTTCTCCCTGGCATGCTGCAGCCTCCATGTTGCTGTGCACTGATGCTTTGCTGGCAAAAGCAGCCCAGTAAAGGGAAAACAGTTGCTTTCTACCACTTTCCTCTTGATTCCTGCTATGGTAGGGACTGGTGCGGCCCCCTTAAGCTTCAGTCTTGGGGATAATCCTGTTTTGGTGCTTTTTCTAATGACTTTGGCACCAAAAAATAGAAGAGTAAGTGAAATTTGCTGATGGCAAAGCTGGGAGGCAGTATCAGCAGAGAAGGATCAGCAGATCACTCAAGACTAATTGGATAGTGCTGAGGCCTGGAGTAATAGAAACAAGATAAAATGTAATGGCAGTGCAAGATCACACAGTCAGTGCTTAACAAGAATTCGTACTCATTGGCTAGAAATGACAAAGGATAAGAAAGCCCTGCATTTATTAGTGGGTCAGGGATGTTACAGGCCATGAAAAAGGCAAATGCACGACTCAAATCTACTCGGTGAGATTTTTGCAGCAGAGGTCAGGCCTGAACAGGGCTTCAGAAATGCTGGCTCAAAGAGAAAATGTTTGACAGGCTCTTAGGGGAAGGCAGATCTGTCGGCAGAGGATTGGGCTGCTGAGCTGGACTGGTCCCAGGCAACAAGGAGAGCTTCCCTTGGCTTGTTGGGAAGGGAAAGCATCGCCTGAACTGTGCAGAGGTGTGAGCTGGTGGTGGGGAGAAGCAGTGAGGCTCTTGGGGAGCCCCTCTGGAGTGGGTGCAACACTGACTTCTGACGGAACAATGCTTTATGGGTGTTGGCACAGCAGGAGAGGCTCATCCAGGGCCAGATCATCTCTGCTACCTGTGGCTGGACTGGCTCTAGGGAAATGTGGGGCTTTGTACTCAGAGTGATTTGCCAGCATTACCCTCATGGGAAAGCTGAGGAGCTGGAGGCTGGGGTGCCCTGGATGGGATGCAGAACAACAGTGGGGAAACCTTCCCCTGGCAGAGACGGTGAGGTGTTGTAAACTTCTGAGCAAAGCAAAGGGTGAGTCCAGTGACCTGCCAAGGACCTTCATTTGAGCCAGCAAAACTGTGCACAAAATGGGCAGAAAATTGCGAGTGTTAAAAGCTGTTTTTAAAAAAAGAAAAGGGTGAGCAGAAGTCACTTCCTTACCCTTTGTACTTGCTGTTTGGAACTGCCTATTGCAGTATGTGAAATAGTTGAAATTAGGGGGACTGAATGTTTCCATCCATGTTACATAACAGGGGCAGGTTAACACAGTTTCTGTACAGCAGTTTTGAACAAGGAACAAATTAATCATCCACTCTCCAAACAACCTTCCTGTGCTCGTGGGCTATTAAGTGTGTTTGCACTGTGCTTTTATGTTTCAACTGCTGCCTCTTGATTGACACGTCCCAAAGTGTGGCTGGTTTGGAGGATCCTACGCGCTTTGTAAAGAAAATTATCTTGAGCTACAATCTGGGAAAAGGCTGTAGCTGTGTATTAAGGATGTTGGGAGAAAAGGGAGTGACTTCATTGCTGTATCGGTCACATCACTGGCATGCTTTGGATAACCCAGCCAGGAGAATAATAATTAGTGGGACCATAGCATAGAAAACTCCCAACACGTGCTGTGCAGGCAGAAGGACCTGGAATTTTTCTGACTCACCCCTCTGTTTATATGCTAAGTGGCTGGTACTGCACACCCTCTTCTCTCACCCCCACCCAGACTCTCCTGTGATGCATTTGTGATGGTTCCATGCTTTCCTGGCAGGAAAACCCCAGGTTTCTAAGGATCTGATCAATAAGGCAAGGAGGACAGAGTGCCCTAACCCTGCCCTCCTTCCGCAGGATGACTGCAGCGAGTTCCGCTCCCAGTTTGAAGCCGGCGGCCGCCTGTCCTGCACCAGGGAGAACGCCCCTGTCCGGGATGCCTCTGGCAGGCAGCACACCAACAAATGCCTCATGTGTGCTGAGAGGTTGTGAGTATCCCTTCCCCTGAGCAGCAGCAGCAAAGAGGGAAGTCTCTGGCTGCAGAAGCGCAGCTTCTGCCTGTGGAGCTGCCTCTGGGCAATGCCTGGGGGAGTCCTGGCTCCCTGGCCCTCTAAGAAATGCTCTGGTGTTTGTGCTCCTCTTCCCCATTCCCTTTCAGCACTAAGGGCCCAAGGGCAGGTGGGAAGCAGTGTGGAGTAGAGGAGGAGAAGCAAGAGTGACAGAGAACAGCCCCTTTCCCAGGGGACTGTCAGGCACGGGCAGTTCCTGAGGAGTTTCTCATGTGTGTACTCTGCCTTCCAGATGCTCTCTCTCTAGTCCCATAGAGTGTATGCAGAAGCAGACCTGATATGAAAGCAGCCATTGGGAACCTGGATGTAGCATACAGTGGGAATTTGGAGGAGAAAGGGAGAAGCTTTAGGGGTGGGAATTAGGAACAGAATCACCAGGAACAGGGACTGTGGATGGGGAGGTGGGACCTAGTGCCATGATAATGCCTTACACTGTCTTACACTGACACTGCCCCTGGGTGCTGGTGGCACTCACACTACCATAGCACTCCATTTTTTTCTCCTCTTCCCTTCTTCCAGCAAAAAGGAAGCTCAAAGAGGGGGTGGAACTCTCCAGCGCAACAAACTGCCTGCTTCAGAGAGGACAAAGCAGGTGAGATGGAGCTCAGAGCCTCTGCAGAACTCAGAAAGGGCCTGGTGAGAGTCTGTGGGATCAGGACAGCCAGGGAACTGCCTGTGGTCAGCCTGGGGTGATCAAGGTGTTTAGGATTCTGTAGCCAGCTAATCAGGGGGGAGAAGCTTTTGTATTGCAAAGCCTCCCTCATTTGTGGGATGAGCATACAAACTGACATACAACTGCAGCTGACAGAACTGCCCCTCTCACTATCCCAGTGATGTGATGCTATATGAGAGAGAAAGAGCAGGTTCAGACTTCCTACGATCCTATAAACCCTTGGATGATAGTATTTGGTGGATATGGAGTGCATCAAACTTGCTACTTTAAGAACAGAATTCTTTGGGTCTGGGGGGATGAGGGGGCAGGGCAGGAGTCGCTTTAGCTTCTTTTCCCTAGTTGCATAGAAGTTGTTTCTGTGGTTGTTGAGTGTGTTCTGCCCCTTTTGCAGAAGAACTGTGGTGGCTCAAGGCAGGGTGTAAATGAGAGGCGTCCCTTCTCCTCGGGCAGAGGGTGAGTTCAGCAGCACCTGGGCTGGCAGCCTGTCCCCACACACACCACCAGGCCTGGCACTGCCTGCCCCCTTCCATATACCTGTATTTTTAGGGGTGGTTAGGAGATTAATTGGAGCAAGAATAGTTGGACAGCACAAGAGCAGCACAGCCTGGGATGGAGCAGTGCACATTGTGCTGTTTGGTGCTCACTACAGCATTTCCCATGGGCTGAGCTGGTGCTGAGGAAGGGACACACACTGGGGCATGTCTTTCATGTAACCGTTTTGGCCTTGATGTTCTGTGTATGAAGCACCAGTGATTTCTGTGCTCAAAATCCATCTCAGGACGCTCTGTTCACTAAAATCTATCTCCCGGCAGTGCACACGTGTGTGCCTGGCCCTGCCTCAAAGGCCCCACGTGCTTTCTGGGCAGGAGCTGTTTGTTTTGTCGCTGTTGGCCCTGAGCAGGACTCAGCTGCTGCTTTTTCTGGGGCACACTGAGATTTCTTGCTTTTGCCTGGTGCAGTTCCTTCATGTCCCCCTTGCACCAAGTGCTGGCAGCAGACACAGGCCTGCAGAGCCCCGGGGTGGTGGTGGTGGTGCTCTCAGGCTGAGCACAGGGCAAGGCAATATCCTGCTCTTGCCTTCCTCACTTTTAGCATGTGCCTGAGGGGCTTCTCTCCCTCTCCTCTCCTGTGGGTGGGTGGATGCTATGGTGCAAACAGCCCTCGAGGGGGTCTGCAGGGAGGGTGGGTTTGCACTCTGCTCCTCATGTTTGGAAGGAGGTGGTGCTGAATTGTATCTCTGCTCTCTCTGCCAGCCCTCAAGTGCAGCGTGGCAGGAACTGCAACCGGCCACCAGGCCGCAAGTCCCAGAGCAGAGACAGCCACGAGGACCCCACGGTAAATCCCCCTCCTGCCCCTCGAGGGTAGCTGTGTGGGCACAAATGGGGCTTCTGCCCCTTGGGGGGCAGCTGTGTGGGCACAAATGGGGCTCCTGCCCCTCGGGGGTAGCTGTGTGGGCACAAATGGGGCTCCTGCCCCTCGGGGGGCAGCTGTGTGGGCACAAATGGGGCTCCTGCCCCTGGGGGGGCAGCTGTGTGGGCACAAATCCCTCTCCTGCCCCTCGGGGGGCAGCTGTGTGGGCACAAATGGGGACCTCTCCCATGGGGTGCTCCTCTGCTGGTGCTGAGCCTCCTTTCCCAGCAGCTTTTCCTGTTTTTGCTTAAACCCTGAAGCTTTTCACTTGGCCCCATGTCCTTGGAAGAGTTTGAATGAGTGAAGGTATCTGTAGCCTGCTGAAAGCCCCTGTATCACCTGGCATAGAAACAGAGGGAAGGGTTTGGCTCCTTGTGGAAGCCCCCCAGCTCTGGGGATGTGGGTCTTGAGCTCAGGTTGGAATCCTGCCCCACATGTAGCCAAAATAAGGTCAAGAGTGCTACCTCTCCATGCTGAGAAGGTGTGAGATAAAGGCCATGGTCAGAGCAGGGTGGTGAGGGTGACCAGGGGATGAGGACAAGTCTGGCAGAAGGAAGGAGTGCTAAAGGGGGAAACACTGAGTGGTAGATGACAACTGTGTATGGAATACTGTAGGAGGAAGGTGGGGGTGTCTGCTCTCCCTTCTCATGAGAAGAAAATGGAATAGTTCCAACAAAGCTAAAAGTGGAAAATGTGAACTAATAAGAGAAAATAAGTTACTGTAAAAAGGGTGACTAAACTGTGGATCTCGCTATCACAGGGTGTTGTCTAGAGGTAGGATGGTTAAAAAAATACCTGATGTTTTAATCCCTTCAGACTTTTCATACAGTAATTTAAATAACATTCTGGAAGAGATGGGAAATGTTTCTATGGATTTGGAGGGGTCTTACTACCAACTGCCGTAACTCTCTCTGAAGCCTTTGCCACTAACCACTCTGAGAAAATTTGAGTTAAAAACCCAAAAGCTAGTTCAGGTGCTGCAATTTTGATGCATTCCAGAGGAAGCATTAGGTGTAATAAGGCTGGTCTGCTTCAGGGCTTAGTGGTATTTCCTGGTAGCACTGGAGTGGATGCCGAGGAGCCTGACAGACCAGAGGTGATTCAGGGAGCAGATCTGCTCCTCTCCTCTTTGCAGGGCCACTTGTGGGCTTTGTCACAGACAATTCCCAGAGCCAAAGGAGCAGTGGCACTGGCTGCTGGCACCTGTGATGTGTGGGGCTGCTGGAGGGGTGGCCTCCTGCCCTGGGCTGTGGTGCAGGTGGCAAGGTCTGGTGCGTAGGAAGGCATCCAGCAGAGGATTGCAGAGGTCAGCACTGTCTGCTCTCACGTCACTGATAATTACCCAGATGAGGGAGGAAGCAGCACATTATGGAAATTAGCAAGTGACGTTTAACCAGCAGGTGCTATCACAGCACCCCAACATCACCAAAACCTCCCCTGTGCTGCCTGGCATGAAATCCTCCTTCCCTGGGGTGCTTCCTGCTGCTGATAAACCATCATTTTTGTGCTGAATGCTGCATCTCCAGGTGGAGGGGGAACTGGAATGTTCTCTCAAACCCACCGCACCATTTGCAGCTGTTGCACCACATTTTGTAGCACTGGAAAAAGGGCTTGGGAGCCCATTACTCGCTTCTTCGTCTCGGTTTTTTTTCTGTTCCTGGGGCTGAGGAAGGGGCTGTGCGTGCCAGGGGCCAGGCTGTGCTATCCCTGACCTCTGCTGTCGGAAATCTGCTATGACTGTACAAACACCCTCTCCTCTCCGAGGGTGCCAGAGGCTTTTTGGGGGATCCCTACAGGCCACTCCTTGTCTTGTCGCTGCGTGCTGGCTGTGCCACGTGTGGTTCATAGGGAAAGCAGTGTCGGAGCGTTCCCGTTGCCGTGCTGGGAGGCACAGGAGGGCAGCCCCGTTAGTCACAGCCGCCGGTGTCCCCGGCGCGGTGGGCGGCAGGAGCGCTGCGTGCCGCACCGCCCGCGGGCAGCGCCAGCGCTCCCGGCGCTCCGCCTCGGCCCCGGCCGATGGCTGCGGCTCAATCCCTGGAGATAAACGGTGTCAGCATACCGATAAGGAAGGCTAGTGCAGGTAGGAGATGGATGCACTTGGAGAGAAATAAACCTTGCCCCGGACCGTAGTGTTGGGGTGGGCTGGTGAGTGGGGAGTGAGGGCTCTGTCCTCCAAGCTTGGCTGGCTGGTCCAACAAGAGACATGATGTCTTTCCAAGTGTGGCCTGGCAAGGCTTGGTTTGTGAGCACCTTCAGGCCATGTCAAGGAGGGTCTTGCAAGTGAACTGTCACCAAATGTGATTTCTTTCTCTCTTCAGCTGGACTGTGAGCGAATTCTGCATGGGGTAAAGGGTGGAAGGATTTTCTGCAGCGAATCCTCACAACCAGTCTGTGGCACTGATGGGAAAACATACAAAAATGAATGTGACTTGTGTTCAGCTGCCATGTGAGTAGGCGGAGAGATTTCAGTAATACAGGGCCATCCACCATTCCCGAGTGTCTTTTGCAGAACAGTGTTTGTTTTGATACATCATGACTCACTATCAAGTGTGTCCTTGGTGCTTTGCTGTTAAGCAAACATAGATCAAAATGCCTGAGATTAATCTGATGACAGCTAATTAAGATACACAAGTTGCCAGGGTCCCCTATTCCCTCTCTGCCCAATCATGAAATTGTTTGGGGAGTAATAAATGCCATCACATTGGAAGTAGCATCAAAGCGTTAAGGAGCCCACAGAGGACTGTCATGCCAGCAGCTCAGAGCTGTGGCATTGCAAGGGAATAATAAGCAATGTCTTGTCCTCCCTTTGCAGGAGAGCTTCAAACTTCATCACGGTAAACTATCGAGGCGAGTGCCGAGAGCCTGGCCCTGCAGTGGTAAGCAGCAAACCACAGCTGGGCTGCCAAACATCAATCTCTGCCTTTCCCCTGGTGGAAATTCCCCATTGGCACCATGTCAGCCTGTGGTGACCTGATCCAGGCAGCCACAATAGGCAGTGAGGAATGAGGAGTGGCTGGCACTCGCCAGCTGCCCACTGTGCCCTTCAGCAGGAGCTGGGTGCCCACACTGGGACCTCGCTGGCAGGTTAACAGAGTTAGCCTGTTCCCTCAGGTCACAGTGGGATAATTAAAGGCATGCTCTCCAGCTGCTCTTCCGCCATATTGGCTGGGAGGGAAGAGAGGTATCGAGGCTCCTATTTCTATTTTGTTTTGTTCCTGGAGTGGAATGATGTCAAGAGGTGAAGAAAAGAAAGTGCCTCTTGGCTGTGTATAGCATCCCACTTTACTCCAAGTGCCTCCTGGGGAGCCAGCATGGCCTCTGCACCTGTGACAGGACCATAAGAGCCCCAGGAATGGATTCTCATGGTCCAGATGTTTAAATACAGTTTGAGGCTCGGATTTAATGCATAACCTGGGCATAGTCTCCATGTTTTGCTGAGGCTGCATGGTAGGAGTGTGATGTGTCTGGGAAAACACCTGACTTTCTTCTTGGCACTTTGATGGAGCTAGGAAGATCAGAATGGTATAAACCATAAAGGGCTTGTTCCCCAGATAATATCCAGGGAGATGGTTGGGAAATTAAGATTATTCACTAGGTGGCACACTTTCGGGAAAGGTCTTGAGCCTTGACATCTTGTGCAATCCCACAGGGCAGATGAGTTAAACATTTCTTAGCTGTGCTTTGTCTTTCTACCAGTGGAAGCTGGACAGCCTCCAGCTCTGGGATGTGCAGCCAGTGTCTCCCAGTTTGTGACTCCGTGCATGGGATGTCCTGTAGCACCTGGGGAGGACTGTCCCCATTGGCATGAACTCTTGAGAAACTCAATCCTTATCCCCAGGGAAATAGATTGATTCCCACTCTAAGCCTGTAGAGAATCCAAATATTGAACGTACCAAAGAGATTTCTGGGAAGTTTGCGGTGGGAGCATTGGTTTCTGAGTATGGATGTGGTGTCCATGTGTTTTCAGGCACAGTGGGATGTGGGCTATGAGAGAGCCATCCTGCCATAGTGCCATTCCATGCCTTCCTCTGCTCAGTGCCAGGACACCAGCAGATCCCCCAAACACAGCAAACCTGGCTTCTTTCCCCCTCTTCTCTAAAGCAGCAGTGTGTTCTAAACTTTGCTTGAAGTCAAAGAAATTGCAGTGCAGAGAGAAATAATTTTGCCTGTGACAGTCCTGGAGGCCTCTGTGTCTCAGTCCTTAGGGAGATGGAGCTGCTGCTGTCCTGTGGGTACAGGGAGATGAGGCACTACAAGAGTCTGTCAGTGACTGTGTCCATGACAGAATGAGACTGGATACACTGTGGTAACTGAAAAATAGACAGGATTCCCAAAAATCTGTGCTGGGTCTGGAATTCCTTACTGTCTCACTGAGCTGTTACAGCTCTCAAGCCCTTGCAATAAGAGGGAGATGCCATTTACTGGAAGTCAGAGAGCTTGCAGCTGTGTTAAGTATTCCAAGGAGAGATGGATGCAATTAGAAGTCAAAGTGCTAAGCTTTTTTCTTGAGGCAAGAAAAGCTAAAGCCCCCCCTGCACAATGATTTATTCTTTGCTTATTAAAGTCACCTGAACAATCAGGCGGGAAATTTATGGGAGCTTATAAACAATGTACAGAGCAATGTTATTTTCAGCACTAAAATTCATGCTCACTTGCAGTATAATGAATTTTTCTTTCTGCTGGAGATTCAGGCACTCAATATATGCTACTAAAACCTGGAGGAAAGCAGCTCCAGCAGTGCTTTTGGCATCAGAAATTGGTTTAGAGAGTTGCAATGTGCAGAATGTGAAATCCTTTGGAAGAAGATAAGAAATTGTTACCCAAAAGTTGTAGTATTTCCTTGAGTTGTATTTTTAAATTACCCATGGAGAGTGCTGGGTTGCCAGAGAAAATGTGTGTTAAAGCTGCCTCATCCTTTTGCAGCCCAGGGCCTGCAACCACTCCTGCCTGCAAAGCTCCAGCTGGATTTTCCAGGTGTTTCTGGCGGCTCTGGTGACCTGATGGCCATCAGGGAAGGATGCTTGTGGGAAGGGTTGGGAGCAATGTGGTTTGAGAGAGATCTGACACTAAATGGTGTATGTGGGCATGGCTGGGGTGGAAAACCTTGCTGCAGAGAGAGCCTGTCCTCACTGGCCAGCACTGGGTCTGGCCACCTTCCCTGGGAGGTCTCTGCCATAACTGAATTCCTTTGATCCCGTTCTGCTTTACTGATGACAAATATAGGTCGGCATCGTGGGATAAGATATCTTTTTTTGGTAAGTTAACTGCCTGGTAGGTCCTGCAGGGCTGTGTCACGTGGATCAATTGATTGTGGGTCTTTCCTGCACATTTGACTTTTAATCCTGCGTATCTTGCAGTTCCTTTACTTGTTCAAAGGTTTTTCACACTAATCACCTGGGCAGTAGTCACCAGCCTGCCCACGCTGCTCAATAGATCAGGGGAAAAAAGGGGTTATCCAGGGTTTCTCCTTTTCTTTTTTATACCTGTTTCTCAACAAACAGATAACTCCCATGTTTGCAATGGGCAAGTCCCAGTTTCCTTACAATGCTCTGTTTTGCCACGCTACTTTTAAAGGTAGTGAAAGGAGGGAAAGAAAAAAAGCAGGACCTTTCCCAGATTAGAAAATAGGTGTGGAAAGCACCTAGCTTGAGGCTGAAATCAGTCTTGTTTTCCTCAGCTGGCAGTGGCCCAGCCTGCCTGTCCTTGTGCCAGGCTCTGCTGCAGTTGTCTTGTGTGGCACTGAGCTGGCCTGAGGGGCTGTCACACTGATACCAGTGTCACACAGATGTGGTCAAGCTTGGGGATAGGCTCATTTTTTCTGCTCTTCTTTTCCAGGAGTAATGGAGTTCAGACTGCCAGCAAACACCAGGGATCAGCTGTGACCAAAGGTATGCACAGAAAGGGGCAGTGACTTAGCCCTGCTTGGCCAGCCTGTCCTTTGGAGGTTGTGTCCCACCTTGTCTACACAAGCTGCAGGGCCAGGACAGAGATTTTTTCTCTCAGATTTTTTTCTCTCACTGCAGCCTTATGATGGTGGGGTTGAGCCTGTGAGGACTTGGGCTCTGCCCACTCCTTTCCCCTGGCGGTTTTTTCAGCCAAGCTGTTCCTGCAGAGCAGGGAGGATGCTGGCAGAGTGGCCCCCCTGTCACAGGGAAGCAGGAATAGCCCAGAGGCCCAGCAGAACAAGAGAACATCACAGCTTTAAATTTTCTCATGGTCCTTTCTGGGATTACAGCAATAAACTGTCTGCCTTCTGTCTCTGCAGAGCAAGTAAAGGAAGCGTCGATGTCGAGCATCAGGGGAGCTGCTGAGCCCCCAGGACTGCCAGAGCTGCCTCCATCCCCTTCTGCAGCACAGGGGGCCTGAGCTGCCTCCATCCCCTTCTGCAGCACACGGGGCCTGTCCTTGCTCAGGTGGAGGGCAGGAGGCTGTGGGGACTCGGTGGTGCCTCCCAGGTGTGCCCCGTGCGTGTGCTGCCGTCCCTGCCGCCTCGCTGTGTCTAAACGTGCTTCTCCAATAAACATAACTCCTCAGCTTCATGTCACTGTTCTTCACTCAGCCTCAGGGGGGGACACACCACTCCCTGCTCTGGCTTTGCACCACGTGCTCCTTAGGCAATGAGCACCCTGAGGTGCAGCAGCTGCTGTAAATACCTGGCGAAGATGTTGGACCCAAGGAGGAAGAGTGCAGTCTGGGGTTTTGTGAGGAGGGATCAGGGTCTCTCTGCCTCTTTATGGGGTCTTGGGTCAATCACTTCACTGCCCTATCAGCCCTTTTCTCCTGCCTGTAAAACAAACATTAAACAATACTTACCTACCTCAGAGGGTTGTTTGAGATTGTTTGGTTTACATTTGGAAGCCGACAGAGGAAAACTGGTTTTAAAGCTCCCCCCTGTCTTGGGCTGGCAGTTTAGATGATGCACTAAGTGTCCTCTTCCAGGCTTTTCATGTGAGGTGCTGGGAAATCCAGACCTCAGTAGATACATGTTGAGTGGTCATGTTAGGAGATGTGCTGAGCCCAGAAAGGTCTCTGGGATCTGGAGGTGAATTTGGCCAGTATTTCTTGCTGTGAGAGGGCAGAAGCACTGATGGCACCCTTAAGGCAGTGCAGGAAGCTCAGCAGTTGTGGTGGCCCATGGACCATCTGCTGCTGGGTCACTCTCTGCCTTGGCCTGAAGTTCTCTGTAGGCTCAAGTCAGTGCCTGTCTCAGGAACCATCTCCTGCAAGGTGAGGAGGATCCTTCCTTTGGGGCTCTGGTGCTGGGGCACATGGAGAAGTGAGAAATTCCATGGTATGGAATGGCTGAAGCTTTCTAAGGAGAAGTGGTGTTGTTCTGAGATGTAACTGATTATCCTAATTAATTTATATTCTGAAACTGTGTTCAGATGAAGCCAGGCCTCTGAGCCAAGGGTTTCCCTGGGTATTTTTTTTTTGAAGTAAATTGATCTGGGGTGGAGTTTGCCGAACTGGAGACACTGATGGTGAGTTAATAGAAATCTGCTGGTGGTTTGCACGTACTTTCTGTACTCTCTTCTATAGCTGTTTCTTAAAGCAAATAGGTTCTTTATTTGTATAAACTTTATTGCAGGACATTTCCAGAAGACCTTGAATGAACATTTGCAGTGTTTGAGTCCACTTTAGCTGTGACCTGATCTGTAAACACTTTTCTCTTGCAGATAAGGTTGAAGTGACTTTCAGATTCTGACAGGATTTTACCTAATATCAATTAATTTCACTCCCACCAAAGATGTAGAATTCTTCCAATTAAGTTATCACATCCTCTGTTTCTACTGCAGTTAATGAAAATTGATTATAAACTCTCAAAATGCTTACGCATGCATCATGTTTTATTGCAGCTGATAATAATAAAAATTGATTTAATTATCAGCAGCCTTTGCCATGAGTGGTTGTTAATAGGTTATATGCTTATTTTTAATGTGAGCAAACACTATGATTCAGAAACAAATTATGATTGCCTCTTTCTACATGGAAAATCCCTATACCAAGTAGAGTCGTGTAGGGTGAGAGTCACCACTTTGGGGCTGGTTAGTTTTTTTGGGAGATGCAGATTTTGTCTTTGAGCAGAGATGAAACAAGTACATTCTTGAATGTTATTTATGCAGCCTGAGAGTGATGAATATCGGACAGTAAAAGTGTTCTCTGATGATGTCTGCTCACTGATTCCAGCTAACACCATGTGCAGGGACATCTACGTGATTTCATAAAAGCAGTACACAATTTGTGGCTTAAAATAAATTCTTGCAAATGAAAATCAGTGCACTTGAAAGCTACTATGATTTGTAGTGATTTCAGGTATTTAAGTTTTCAAATAATGACCCCTAAAACCTTCATTAACTGTGCTTGAAAAGCAATAAGCTGATGAAGACTGCCCCAATAGCCTCTTCTGTCAGTATTTGAGCACCTTCTAAATTTCTCCTGCTGCCAGCAGAAATTACCGTCTGCAAAAATCACAGCTGGTGATAAGGGATCGTTAATCAGATTCTGAGCCCATCTGCTGAGGAGGCACAGGACAGGGACTTGCTCAAGCTGCCTGGGCTGCTGTGAGCAGCAGGGCTGGCTCTGTCCTGCTCCCAGCAGCCTGCCTGCTCGCTCTGCTCTTGCTTTCAGCCCCCTTCTGCAGGTTGTTCCAAGGGCTGCCTGGTGAGGAGTGTCCCTGGTGGCACAGCAGAGCTCCAGAAGGATGCCACCCATCGCTACTCCTGGGCAGGAGGAGGTGAAGGCTTATGAGGTGCTGGAGATTTACCACTTTTTCTTTTCTGTTTGCTCCTGGTTGCCCTTTGTGTTCCCCTTTAAAATGGTAATGAGGCCAAGCCAGTCCTCTATGAAACTGGAAAGGTACCAGAGCTCTGGGGACTCTTGGGTTTGCTGTAAATTACACTTTATTAAGGGTGTTGCTTGCCAATAACCACAGACCCCATGTGGTTCACAGCAGTTCCTGAGGTTTTGCAGAACTGGCATTATGAACTGACTTTGGTCTCCAGCCTCTCAATGCCATTGGATTTTGAGCTAAAATGCCCTCTGCAGGAACCTTAAGTGCCTTAGTATTTTTTCCTTCTTTTTTCATAGAAGGTGTCAGGAGCTTATGCAACTTTTCAGGGCACACAAGTGCTGCTCTTGGTAGAGAGTGAGGACTGTTGACTCTGGCAGATGCCTCAGTAGACCTTGAACTCCCTGTGGTATTTTTCAGTCCTCTGTCCATTTGGAGCCTGGGAGCTCTGCCCAGCAGCTCCCCAGCCACACTGAGGGAGAGCCCTGGCATGGCTCCGTGGTGTGCTCTGCCCAGGGCACTTTTTTCAGGCTGCCACAGCAGACAGTCCTGGAAATCCTGCAGTTTAGGGGCATTTGTTCCTTTAAGAACTCGGTGAATTGTGACATGGAAAACTTGATGCTGTTTGTGCAGGGAAGCCCCTCTGGCTCTGCTGCAGAGCTCTCTTTTCTGGCTCTCCCTACACCCCTGTGATGCTCAGTCCCACCACACAACTTCTGCTATGGGTACCTGGGGATTTCAATGTTATTTGTCCTGATTATCATAATTTCTGCTCCATGGCCCATCTGCTTTCACCTTGGGGACTCATGAATGGGCCTTTCTCTTTTCTCTCTCTAGGGCTTCTGTTTGGCAGCTGTTAGAACATCTGTCTTTCCCTGCAAGGCTCTCCCTACTACAGGGAGCTCTTCAGGCAATTTTCTTGGGATCTCCCTGCTCTATTCTGCTGCAAGATCTCTCCTTCTACCCACTGCAGCACAAAAACTTCCAGTGCTTTCCTCTGCATGAAGGATGAGTAACTCCATGTAAGTTGTTCACTAAAAACAAGATGCAACTGCTTGAAAATTAAGAATACAGACCCTTGATGTAGAAGGTCTCAAAAGAAACACTTAGTGATGGGTGTAGTAACAACCACCCCCGTGGTTTGAGGGTGGGAAGCATGGAGAATTTCTGCACATATTTCTGAAGAAAAGATGAGTTGTCTTTGTTGCCTTCTTGCCTCAAAGAGGTTGCTTCCTTTCTTGGCCTGTGTCAGTGAGATTCTGCAGAGATGGAAACAGATGAGTCACAGCTGGGACCAGAGGTAACCTGGAGAGGCAGCAGAAGAAAGGGGTGGAGTGCTCCTGTCCTGGGCTGCTCAGCCAGGTGGGATTTGCAGCAAAGGAAAATAAACAGGTAGATGTCAACACAGCATCGCTGCAAGTGGGAGTTGCACAAGCAGAAGGGTGTAAATGCAGCCAAAGGTCTCCCTGTCCAATGTGGGTGGAATGTTCTGCACCTGGCTCTCTGCTCCTGAAAGGCTCTGTCCTAAGGGAAAAGTTCCTAATTCCTGGTGGAAAAAGCTTTGCTGGATCACTCTCTGTGAAGCTGGCAGCTCACTGGTTGGGTCACAGCATGGATCTTCCTTGTGCACAAGGCAGGAGCCCAGAGCTGAGCTCTGTGTGCCTCAGCTGACACAGGGGACAGCAGGCACGTGCTGTAGCTGCAGTGTTTTCTAAATCCAAATCCCTTCTCTAGATCCTCGACAGGTGTTTGCTCTACTGTCCCTTTACTCTGTCTCCTATTGCAAACTACTTCCCAAATTTAATAGCTTGGTTGGAAGAGAATTACTTTGCTCTTGACAGAACATGCTGAATCAATCCACTTTAACTGCAGATTTGGTTTGCAAATAATATCTCCTTTCCGATCGGGTTCAGGTCTCATCGCTGTGGACATTGGCAGGAGTTTGCTTGACCATGACAGCTTTTACAGAGCATGGCAATTAAGTTGTCAGGAATCATTTTCCACTGCCAGGAAGCATTAATGGATCCTGGCCTTGGCTGGAATAAGCCCTGGGAGATGGATATTGTAATCGGGATGAGAAGGGGTCCTTGTAGCCAAGGTCTGCATCCATCCAAAGGTCTGGAGTCCTGGACACTTGGTGGAACTGAGATAAGGGAAAGGTCAGGAAACACAGGGCAGAGCATCAGGGGGAAGGAATGAAAATGAGGGATATGAACAGGGACGCTGTCCCTCGTGTTCCTAGCAGGGCAGGAAACGTTGGCATTTGGAGAGGTTTTAGTTTTGCGGATGCACACTGCAAAGTACTAATATTAGCAGAGCTCCTGTATATGAAAGCAAATATTTTTCCACTAGGTAATCCCTAAAATTGTGTTGTTGTGTATTTGCTTTTCAAGTGAGAAAGATGTTGGAAATTTCCTTCTCTTGGAAAATAAAACTGTGATGATTCAACAGAAGCTCGCTCTGTTTAAATTGTGTCAAAAAATAGATCTGCTAGCAAGGATTTTGATTACCAAATACAGAATTTGAAAAATGATAGGTTAGTGAGAGATTTGGAGAATTTAGGATTCCCATCTGAGAAGTCTACAATTGAGATTAATCCAAAGAATTGCCAAAAATCTGCTTACATACAGGACAAAAAAGCATTCAAGGCCAATCTAAGTTCCATTACCTGAATAGTGGGCAAACCTTGAGGAGATATTTGAAGAAAACTGAAGATATAAAGCGTAAAGAGATAACGTACACAGTGAATTTTCAGGAAGCAAACCATGCGTGGGCTAATACCAATCTCTGCAAAGTTGGCTGACTTCCTAGGTAAAGGAAGTACAGTACATCTAGTCTGTGCAGACATTAAAGGCATTTGGCCTGCTGCCCTGGGGGATGGTGTCACTT